GTGTGCTCTTCCGATCTCCTACCCTAAACCCTAAACCCTAAACCCTAAACCCTAGACCCTAAACCCTAAACCCTAGAAGCTCTAACCTCGACCCATTGAATTGTGTCTTCAACGAGGACCGAGGTTGCTTTCCTTCTGGTGGACTACCCTGGCTATGGCCGCAACAAAGGCCCAGATTTGGGTACAAAAGGCTTGGGGCGTTTGGGACCTGGTGGGGTGTTCGTGGTGTTCGGGGTTTCGGTTTAAGTTTTGGGGGGTTCAGGGCTTGAACTTGCGGCTGCGTTGTTACTTGGTTGTTCCAAAAAACGGCCCCTTGTTTCCTCAACCGCTGGACCCCAAACCCTAAACCCTAAACCCTAAACTCTATACCCTAAACCCTAAACTCTATACCCTACATCTGAAGCTCTAGACACTCATCCCCTAAACCCGAAGCCTTGAACCCCACACCCTAGACTAGACTCAAGACTCGGTGTTTTGCACTCCTTGGTTTGATTGGTTCAGGTTCAAGGAGTCTAGAGTCTAGGGGTTAGGGAGTCTTGCGGCTTTTAGTTTAGGGTTTAGGGTTTAAGGTTTATAGTCTAGGGTTTGGAGTTTATAGGGTTTAAGGTTTAGTCCAAGGTTTTTGGTTTAGGCTTTAAGTTTTAGTCTGGGTCGTCTAGGATACAGGGATCAGGGTTGGTAAGATGTAGTGCCGGTTTCGGTAGCCAGCGCCCTGCGCTTTCCCATGCTCCCTTAGGCCCACTCTTCCAAACGAGCCCTTCTATAACCAATAGAGAACGCCGGCACACAAAGCCCTGCAAACCCATAGCCCCAGCGCCCAAAACTCCTAAACCCTAAACCCTAAACCCTTTCAGTAATTCCGCGAGCTGCGAGGTGAAACTTCCCCGGAGTCTGTGCTGAGGACCTCGGTGCTGGCTGTTGCTGGGGGCTTGGAGTCAAGAGAGTTTAGGATTTGGGGGTTAGGGGTTTAGGGGTTTAGGGGTTTAGGGGTTTAGGGGTTTAGGGGTTTAGGATTTAGGGTTTAGGGTTTAGGGGGTTTGGGTTTAGGGGACTCCAAACGTTTCTGAGGCGAAGGGGAGGACAAGTAATTTGGGATTGCCCCACCTGGCTTGAGAAAGACGGCACCTACTGTAGGGGCCCAAAAAATTACCAACACTATTTTGGGGGTTCCTTATTATAATCATAGTATAATGTGCCCAAAACATCCCAAAACCCTATTCTAATAATAAAGGCCCCTAGATTGAAGAACCCCTTATAGTAACCCTTCCAGAACCCCTTTAAAGGAACACCCTCTTCTATTTACTAAAACCCCTACACTACCCCCGATATCACGACCGACTCCCCGCGCCCCATCAAGTAGAAACCCGAACTCTAGGAGCCCTGACGTCAGAGGGTTTAGGGTTTAGGGTTTAGGGTTTAGGGTTTAGGGTTTAGGGTTTAGGCCCGAAGCCTAAACCTGAACCCTAAACCCTAAACCCTAGGGCAGCTTTTCTTGTAACTCCTCAGCCCTAAATCCTTAACCCTGAACCCGAACCCTAAACCCTAAACCCCAGAGCAGCCTTGCTTGTGTATCTCCAAAACCTCAGCCCGAGATTCCTAGAGCAGTTTGTCTTCTGTAGCTAAGGGACTACGCCAGACCACGTCGGAGTATGTAGAGAACCTCTTGGGGTTCAGGGTTCAGGGTTTAGGGTTTAGTCTAGGACATTTTCAGGTGGGTAGTTACCGTTATAGGAGCCTTATAGAAGGTCTATATACCTTATGACGGCCTTATAGAAGCCCTATATACCCTAAACTCCCCAACTGTAGTTTCCGTTAATTTAGTGTGCCGGGAGCCTAGTGGAGACTCTGAAGGATTCTGGGTCTAGCCCTAAACCCTAAACCCTAAACCCTAAACCCTAAACCTAGCACTCTAGTATTTCTGTCGTAGTCGTAAACCTTAAAACTTATAAGGGCCCTGTAGTCTGACGATGTTGGGCCCCAGAACATCCTAAACCCTATAAACCCTAGGGTTTAGGGTTTAGGGTTTAGGGTTTAGGGTTTAGGGTTTAGGGTTTAGGGTTTAGGGTTAAACCCCCAAGTCGAAAATCCCTTCTAGAACCTGCAGAACTTCTTGTCGTAGAGCCTTTCAAGCTGTACACCTGAACCTCAAAGCACCTATGTACCCTTATACGAACCTCACATATAAAATCCTGACAAAGCCCCAAAGAGCCCCTAAAAATCCCTAAGCCCTTTCTCTTCAGCCCAACCCTAAACCCTGAACCCTAAACCAAAAATCCTACAAAGCTAACAAAAAACCTTAACGACAGCCCAGGGAGCCGCGCTACGGCACCTTTCGACTGAGGATGTCTCTGTGCACCTCCTCGGCCCCTGGGCTGAATTTCCGTGCTGACCCAAAGGGTCCTATGTACAGTTACGGAGGATACTTCCCTAAAGCATAATAAAACAGTAATTCCCAGTATAGAAACCCTACATTCTACTATTTAGGTACATAGGACCCTTTGGGTTAAGGTTGAGGGTTTAGGGTTTAGGGTTTAAGGTGTAGTAAGGTTGAGGGCAGCAGGGTCTACGTTTTACAAGTTTACGAGCCCAGATTGCTGCAAGGGCCCCTAAAGGGGTTCGTATAAATAAGGCTACTGTAGCGATAAAAGGATACTTTCAAGGCTCTGCAACGGTTTAGGGTTCAGATCGTTGGTGCTTAGGGTTTCAGCATGTGGTTCTTTTGCAGTTTATCAAAGATGATTCACCGCAGACGGTTAGGCGTTTGTAGGGTTTTCAGGTTTAGAGTCTAGGGATAGGGAGGGTTGCAGGTTTCGGTTTAAAGTTTAGGGCCTTGCTGGGGCTTAGGGGCACGGGTGTAGCAAGGCTCTTTGGGTTTTCGAGGGTCCGGGAGGCGACTTCAAGAAGGAGTCCCTAAACCCTAAACCCTAAACCCTAAACCCGAAACCCGAAACCCTAAACCCGAAACCCTAAACCCTAAACCCGTTGTGGCTTTCCTAGAAACGGGAGCTAGCAGTTCCATAGGATCTTTGTAAGGTTGTGTCGGGCTCCACCGGGCTATGCTATATCCTGTCTGCCTTGCAATGTCTTTGCGCAGTTAATCTTTGAAGAAGTCTTCATTGACTCCATCGAAATCTAACTGCATGGCCTAAAGCTGAAATGCGAAGCTTGGAGACCGCAAACAGTGGCGGCATTCTCGTCCCGGCACGTCTTGCGGCCGTAAGCTGTCAGCGGACTGCAGCCGTTTTGGCCGTGCTGCTTCATCTCTGTCTCAAGCTGATACCATGGAAGCCGTCATGCCGAAGCACTGGATTCCCAATTCGAGAGACAGAGCATCCGAAATCCTGAGGCCCTAAACCCTAAACCCTAAACCCCTAAACCCCTAAGCCCCTAAACCCCTAAACCCTGAGCCCCTAAACCCCTAACTCTAAACCCTAAACCCTGAAACCCCAATATCAATCAGCTGCGAATCTTTTGACTAGGGTAGGATCTCTCCCTGAGATGCCCGGAATGAAACGGTATTGGCGTGCCCTAGCACCACGCGAAACCTTAAACCCGACAGACCCTCAAGCCCAAACAACCCTATAAGGGTCCAAAACCTATAACACCCCATCAACCTCCTCAAACGAAAGCTCTACAGAACTCTGATGATAGAACCCTCACTGAGGACCCTACGGAACCTAGAGGACACTTGCAAAAGCCTCTTTACACCTTTTTACCCTCTAAGGGCACTCCCTGGGGGCGGCTGCTGCTTCACAGCCGCGAGCCCAGAGGGTCAAAGATTGGGCGACGCGCGCTTTGGGGGTTTAGTGCTTACTGTAGGTTTTAGAGGTTTAGGGTTTAGGGTTTACTAAACCCTTAGGTTTTGGAGGTTTAGGGTTTAGGGTTGACTAAACCCTAAACCCCTACACCCCTAAATCTTAAATCCTAAACCCTCTTGACTCCAAGCCCCCTCTCTGACTCTGTCTCTCTCTCTCTCTCAATTAGAGAGATCAAGAGAGAGTTTGTGCTGGTGTACTTGCTGTGGGGGGCTTGAGGATTGCCTTGTCGCGACTTCAAGGCTCTTTATGACTTCGAGGCTAGGGTTTAGGATTTAGGGTTTAGGGTTTAGGGTTTCGGGTATAGAGTTTAGGGTTTAGGGTTTAGGGTGAGTTGGGTTTGGAGTTTGGGCTTTGGGATTTAGGCTTGGAGGTTTGGGGTCGTGTCTAGATCCTTTTTGCCCTTATAGGCCATTTGGGTCTTAGAATTGGCGGATCAGGCTTTAGACTTTAATAGTCAGGGTTTAGGGTGTAGGGTTTAGGGTTTAGGGGTTCAGGGTTTAGAGGCTTAGGGGTTTAGGGGTTTAGGATTTAGGGCTTTGGGGGGTTTAGGGGTTTAGGTTTTAGGGTTTAGGGCGTTTTAGGATTTGGGGGTTTCCGAAAA